CCGCCCCTTCTCCGAAAGACCGGTAGCCGGTCGCCTTTTTTTCTGCATACGAGATCGAGCCTCAATATGGAGGTGATTAAACCGCGACGCAAGCCTGACGGGGAGGCCTTTACGTTTCCGTGACTTCGTAATTACGCCACCGCTGACCGTTGTAACGGTCGAGCTCTCGTAGCCGGTCGTTAAGGGAAATTAAGCAAGCTCCTTTCGTTCCTTCACTCCACACGATGTTTACTGCCTGGCCACCAGGCACTCGTAAATATTCGGGCTGTGGAGGTTTCGCGAGGTTCACCGAGGCGATTGTAATTAGCCGTCAACCGGGGGAAAATCGGACTTTAACCCTTTAAGGACGATCGAATCTGTGGAAAAGTGTGTGAGAGATTGTCAAGTGTGCTCGATTAACGAGTTGTGCGAGAAGAGGATTTGTTGTGTTGAAAATGTCGTTTTAATTAAGAATTTTTATTTATTCGCTGCGCTCTGTAATTCACAGAGTACTATAAATACAAGCAATGAGTTGCCATATTTTCGAGAAAAGATTCCTTTAATTAAGTAAAATATTTATTTTGCCCGATGGAAGAAATTTTCACGTAGAATAAGGGTTGCGTTCATATAAATATGGCTGGTGTAAGTAATTCCTCACGAAGGAGCCATAAGCTCCTAATGCAAGGCCCTCCAAGTAGAGGGCAGCATCGACAGGAGCTCTGAAGACTGTTTCAGCAACCGTAGAGCCTCGTGACGCAAAGGACAAGCAACGAAAAGTCGACAGCTGTGTCCCTTCCGCCCTTTTCTCTCCCGTCAAAGGGAGGCGACAGAAAAAGAACACACTATCCTTCTATCATCCTCTCGTCCCCTTGCAACGTCCCTTTCCTCCCCAGCAATATCATTATCGTTTATTACAATCTCGTCTCGAGATAAGCAGTGCTATATCCCTTCCAGCGAACACCTCTGCTCGCACGAAAATAGAGTATTTAAAAGTTGAGCGAAATCGATTAACCGAAGTTCGTATACTTTGTAGCAGGATCACGGGAATACGAAGTCTCGAGGCGTCCTTAAAATTACCAAATAGATAGAAAAAAAGGGGGACCAATTCCCCTGGGAGACCGGCACGGCGGATATTAAGAGATGGCCATCGTGGCGGTTCACCCCGTATAATTTTCACGGGGAACCCCGCCCCCGACGAACACGATGTTAGTCGGTAGTTTACAGATTCGTAAGATCATCTGTGGTTCCGTTCTCGTGAAACCAGAGAAGGTGGAGCGTCTCTGGTGGAGTAGGCGTCACGAGAACGCGTTTTCACGAGAAACGTTGTAAGAAGTCCGAGATCATTTTCCCATGACGGCAGACGTTTCGAAAGAGGAAAAAGAAAATTACACGTGTATTATACGCGAAGGCTGCTTAATCTCACCCCGGTGCGGTGTCCTGTATTTTTATAAATATTGCAAAACAGTCTTCGCGTTTATTGACTCGTAATTGCGAAACACACACAGGTTGTTATATCCTCTCCGGTGTTGTATTTTTCTCCCGTGTAATTCAATCAGTAACGAAAGAAGCTGGACGTTATACGATCGATGGCTCGTTAACGACGCAGGAAGCGCCATTTTCTTCGTCAACCTGGCAAGACGTGGTCTCTCTCCGCTATGTCCTTCGTTTATAATTTCATTACGGCCCCGGCTGCGCTTTATTTCAAGTCCTCTCTCGCCCTTTCTCTGCTGCTGCGATTGGAAGATCGCAATCTTTCGCGTAATTAATTGGAAATACCGAGATGGCGATAAGCCGCCAATTTATCTCGTCCTCCTGGCCGCCTGCCTCCAGAATTGAATTCTCTCCGCGACCGTGCCGCATTAATATTAATTAGCGACTAGCGCGGTGCCATCTGAAACTGTAACGCCACCGGTAACGCTTCAATTTAACGGGGAAATTTTATCGCGCGATTTACATCCACCTCTGCCGCCATTTTTTAGCCTGGTCAAACGTACACGGTGGCATTTGTACCGGAGGGAAGAGAGAGAAAGACAAAAAGTGCACACACGCGACTCCTCGTTTGCAGATCGAATTCTAATTAATTCCTGTAATTCCGATGTAATTTTACGCCCGTCTGATTGAGACAGTGACCGGGAACATGACGGTAGATATCATCGTACACAGGCGGACGTAGACTTTTACACGAGAGGGTAAACTACACGCGGGAAGAATTCGTCCTTTGCTTTGGGCTTCCCGTGGTTAAGAGGGTGAGAAATATTAATATTATACAGGGTGCTTCTGGGTGAAAACGAGTGTCGCGGTTAACTTTATCTTTGGGAGTCAAACGTCGTTTCAATGTTACATGCAAGAGAAAAAAGAAATACGAAAATCCTCGGTGATCTTGAAAACTCCGAAAAAAGACATATGTCCTTTGATACCGTTCAGATTTCATCTGAAATAGTTTTTGTGTCATCACAACTGAAGGAGGTACTTAGATAGCCCATTTCACGTGAAACACCCTGCATACTTTCTATTATATCACTTTATTCCATCAAAAATACTGCAGACACCTAAGCACACGCTGAACAGCGTCGCGTTAAGTAGTACCGCTCAATGAAACGTCAGATACCGCCGGGTACCGTGTAAAAATCCACAAACCGAGTAAAACAAAGAGGAACAAAAAAGATACAGGAAGCAAGGATCCGCGGTGGCCGCTGGAGCTGCAAGCGGTCGGAAAATTGACGTTCGGTGTGGCTGAAAGTAGAGGCTTCCGGTGGTGTAATTGTTTCGTAGGATCGTTTCAGATTGCTCTGCAGGTTTGCTCGAACACGGCCACCTAGGAGGTCGCTCTGTTGGCCGGCTAGCACTCAAAGAGCGCCTTTAGGCTCGGTGCCGGTATAATGGCGCCCGTTTGTCAAAACACGTCAAAACACAATCCTGGCCACGAAATCCTCTTTGGCCAGCCAGTCACGCCCCGCGATGCATCACCTTCCCCTCTTTTCCTCCCGTGCTCGTTTAGAGAAGAAGAAGAAGAAGAAGCTGTGCAGGTAGTGTTGGAGGGTGGAGAGAGGCAACGAAACTCGTGCTCTCCTCGATACGCGAGGCCGTGTTTGTTGCCGAGTCACCGGGCCAACATTACTCTCCTTCGAATTTGGAAAGCGGAGATCGCTTTCTTCCCCCACCTTTTTCCTACGCTTTCACGTGGAAACGGGAGCGTGGAAGTATGGCTCTGTGATTTTAGGCGGGTTCCACGGGGAGGAGAATCTAAGGTCCGTTTATTGGGTAAAAGAACGAGCAAAGTTGGAATATACAGGATGACACACTTAGAATTTTCATAGAAATTATTTCACTGGTACTGACGGTAGAAAAAGTGACTGAGATTTGATATAGTTCCGAGACATATGGCGGTAGTAAATGAAGTGACACCCCAAAAGTCATCTTGAAAATCATTTCTCAGTCGTAGAAATTTTTTTGAATCTTAATATCTGCTTTTTATAATGGAAGGTTGTAGTCAGTCTTCGTTAAGACGAGTTCAACGGCCGTTATGACCCTAAAGTGAGCCCAAATAGTAAGCGAAAAATGTGAGCGATCTTGGAATGATCTTCAAGGTGAGTTTGAGAAGATTTTCGAATTTCTCGAGAAGACTATCCTATCGATAATTTTCTAAGCGAATTTACGATACCTACTTGGGCGAACACGAGTGAAACTTGGACGCGCAGCGAGAATCTTAAAGCTCGTTACGCGACTCGAACCCTACCGGTTATCTCTCAATTGTGCAATTTTCACAAAACCCC